GGTCCTGCATCAAAAAGGATGATGCGAGTCAGTTGATGACGAGAATGCACAGTGAGAACAGAAATCAACATTTCTGCTATGAAGATTATTATGTCACATTAAATATATCCTACATATACAATAATAAAATAATAATACTGGTACAAAATAATTAGTGACAATATAATATACTAGTAGTTTTGAAAATAAACACACACTATAGTCACCATCTAAATAAATGCATATTTATTCATCGAATAAAATTTTGGAAGATCAGTTATTGAAGATCTGCTCGACGAACTAATATGTAATTTTAATAAAAACACAATTACTTCTTGTAAATTTCAAAAGGTATCTGTTCCATCACAATCACACTAAATCACTCACGGCAAACACAGTTTTAAAAATCTAAAAACCAAGATGAGAAACTTCGATCTGCATTAGACTGCTTTTTCAAAATTTTCACGTATTTTAAACTACCACCTATTTCGATCACTGTGACACTCTTTAACTGCTAAAATATCGACGATAGAGTGTATTAAAATCAGTATTCAGTTCTAAAAATTCGAAACATCGAAATTTTGTTGAAGAAGAAATTCAAAAATTACATAAAGAATAGGTGAATATCATCAATAAATCGATCATAAAAAATCAATAATTTAATATTTTTCCTTTGACTTATTCGTGGGCGAATTTTAACAGTACTCGTAGTATAGTGTGGTATAAAAAACATGTTTATATCACATATTTTCGCAATAATTATTTCACGTATATCCGCGTAATTTATTCATATAAATATTTTGTATCTATAAATAGCATGTTTATGTTTATCTAGTTCTTAATTTAATCAAATATTAAAAATCATATTAAATAAATTTACACTTACCTTTATACCAGGTCTCCATAAATGGCGCATATTTAAACCTTCTAGATCAATTAATAAACACCATTGAGAAACTGGATGGCCAGAAACAGCAGTAGCTTCTTCCATTAGAACCAGACCTTCTTCACAGATGTGTAGTACCTATAACAACAATGATTATTGCAACAAACTATGAAGCACATGAATATGTAATATTAATTATACTATAATATGTAATATGTAACATTGCACATAATTTCTTTATACAAATGAAGCTTACTAGCAACAGTAAATCGTCCTCTCCAATAGATTTCAATAATCCTTTCACATCCATTTGGCCCATTCTTAAAATATATAGGGGCTGGCCATCTATAAATAAAAAATTTATTATTATAATATTATATTATTATTATTATAGAAATATTGATACAAAATAGGAAAAACATAATAAAGCATTATGAAACAAATACATATACCGTATTCCCACTTTAAATGCACAAATAATTCTTACATTCAATGCAAAAGTTTTATCTCCATTACTAGTAACATTTATTTTATAATTACTTGTAAAATATTTCTATTTAATTATTTATAACATAACAGAATATGTTAACCATTATATGTAATAATAAAAATTAGAATACCTTTATCAAAATGATGCCAGCCACCAGGGAAATAATCTTTTACTACCTGTGGAACATCATATTCTTCAAGTAGTTTATCAATTTGATGTTTTTTTCTCCAATGTAATGCCTGTGTTAACATTTCTTTTGCTTTTTCAACTGAAAATTCAGTTGCTCTTAAAAATCTTAAAAGAGTTGCATCTCCAGGTATTGAACTTCCTCTTAACTCTTTTATGCTTTGTCTTAATTGAATAAGTTTGCTTTCTTGTATCATATCAAGTTTTCCTAAATATCTTTCTATATAATCTGAAGAAAGCTGCATTTCTAAAATATAAGATATTAGCAACTTAAATTAAGTAATTTAAACCTTTATGTGAGACATAATTCAGCAAATGACTTTGTCTACATAATATACTATTCTTTTTAATAATAACTTGCTTTGTTTATATTTTGGATAATCTCCAAGATTTAAACAACCTTTTATTTTACAAACGTATCATACAACATGATATCAGAACAATCAAATTTCAATGGTCCCACGCTAAATGTTCGTTAGCTTGGGTCCATGATGCATCATCGAGGGAATTATTATTCCAAGTATCTGATTGGTTCAATCGCATTACAATGGAAAGTGAAAAATACTGACAGTGAGTAAAATAGAGAAATTTTCAATGTCTGTTTATACTATGTTTGAGAGGATTGACTGCCCTAACGATCGGGACCTCACTTTTTATATGTGGGTACCTGATCATCTTTTATCTTCGTGAGGGGCATCCGTCGCGGAACGTTCTCGATGGTTCTGATCTTTCTAGAACCGCGAGCCGCGACCCGTATATACCGATATATAGTGACAGGCTATCGAACGTTCTCGGTGTTTCAAGATCAGTACACTATGTAATGCGAACGCTCGTCGAGGCAGTTGCAGGAGTTGGTGAGGATAACTCCGTGAATAATATCAAGGGAAAAATTATTGCGAATGTTACCAAAAAAGTACTATACACAAATTCTGTGACGAAATATGCACACAAGATTTGGATACATATATTATTCGTTTGTGAGAAAGTAAGCGAGTATTTACATCCTCACTCCAGTTACAATCTACTAGTCTCCTTATCATTGCAGACATTGGTCCCTATTGGCCGGAGACAGTAAGGCAGATTAGTGGTGGTCATCTATAATAGTTACCGCCTTTAGCTAATAGCGACCAGTACTTGTAATGATAAGAGAGATAATAAACTGTAATTGGAGTGGGGATGTAAACACTCGACTATCTTCTCACAGACGGACAGTAGTATGAGGAACTGCTAAGTAGGCGAATTTAGCTGATTGGTTACTCTATTAGAATAGAGTGTCCCTACCTTCTTTCACATGCATTTTTGGTATTGACCAATTTTGACGTTAATACTGCAGAATTAGGTAACAAAGAGGGGTTGATCACGTTGCAAGATAGTGTAAAATGTTGCACTGGCGTATTTATTTCGGAATCTATCGTTTCTTGTTCCATAAGTATTTTAATAATAATGTTTGGATGCCAATCCTATTACAGTGTCAATACGTGCTACTGTATGAGCCAAAGTGGGTATAGGTGGGAGGAGTGAAGCAGAATTTTTACCCCAATGCTGCCTCATTAACCAACTTATCAGTTCCATATAATATACAATCATTCAACAACATTGAAGCTGATCTTCTATACATGAAATTATCTACGTATTGGTCCTTTGGGGTTTTTTTCTGTTTTCTCTATAGTTTATACATACTTTTAACATTATTATATTCGCTTCATCGAATTTGTAGAGATATCAACTCTTTTAAAATGGCCACCTGTGAACGCATAATTTCAATAGGCGTATTCTCACGACAATAGGCAAAATGGTCTATTGATGGTTATTAAGACTATACTTGAATGATAGAATTACAAAAAATGATGTTGTTACGCTGTTATGCTGTTATGTTACTTGTATATATTAATCTGCATACCGCTTTAACCGGTATTATTACCAGAAAAATCAAAATGGCTGTTCTTTGAATGGATTTAAACAAAGATTACAATTGGATCAGCACGAATCCATGTAGATTTAAAACATTCGAATTCGAATAGCTGAAATTTCTTAAGCTTTTTTAAAAGATCTCAACATAACACGATGTCGTTTCAAATTAAAAAATTAAACATTGAATGTGTCTCAAAATTAAGATTAAAAATAAAGGTCTCAGAAATTAAAATTAGAATTAACCGAAGCGAATAGAGTACTCCCTTTGCCTTTATGCTAAACAGTTGATCATTTTTACAAAAAGAAAAATCGAATGCATACAGCATCTATTATCTTCTTAGGTACATCCCTCTGTCTGTAAATATCAATAGAACCCTGCACAAAAATAGAATATCAAAAAGTATTCTGAAGAATTGCTCAAATTCGTATCTATAAGAAGATAATATTAAAAACAATGAAAACAAGAATAAGTATGAATAAAATTAAACTTGGAAAATGTATTCAGACAACGTCACAGAATTAGAAACTTTTGTTACTTACTTATAGTTAGATCGTTTTTATACCATTTACATCATAGAACTGCCACTTTATAATATGTATTCAAATGTAATATAAATAAATAGCTACTTGCAGTGATGTAATGAAAATAAATATATATCCCTATTTTAATAAAAGTCAACATTAATTAATTTTTTCCAAAAGCAGCTGTATAACAAACTATACATAGCAAACTATAATCTTTGAATGAATTATTTAAAATTATTTATATCTTATAAAACGTTAATTGTATTAAAATTTGTATTCATCATATCATGTTTCTAAAGTCATTTGTTGAATTTAACGATATTTCATTATGAAATATCGTTCATAGTAGTATAGAAAGCAATAACCTACCTCTATTTTGTAATTTATTATCTGCATAAGAATAAGTATCTTCTTGAGTGAGCGATTCTTGACTCTTTGTAATACCGCTAAATATAACAAGTAACAATTACATAATTATATTGCAATATTATGAATGCATTTTCGATTTTTTCGCGTCATTTCAAGCTATAATTCATTTGCTTAAGATAATACATATTAATTATAAACAAAATAACAAAATATTAATGTATTCAGAAGAAAGAAACAAATTAGGCTTATTTTACATTTTTGATGGTTAAAATCATTTTGAAGATAAATAAGTTAACATAATTAAAACTCACAATACAATTAATAACTAATTCTCTAGAAATTATTTATTATACATATTACTTAATTTTATGCCAACCTTTGACTCAATAATTCTATAACCAAGTTTTCAAATTCCAAGAATAACAAAATATAAATAATGCAAGAGGATTAAACATAAAAGATATATATTATTACAAATTTATTTCAATTAAAGGTAATATTTCCATTAAATAATTTCATAAATTTGATGGAATTATTTCATAGAAAAAGTTGCTAAAAGTTTTGCGAGTATGAATAAAAATATAAAAATATCAGTAAAATGATAAATAATAAAATAATAAATAAGTCAACAAAAGAAAGTATTTTATAACAATGATGTGATTTCAAACTTACTCCTCCTCTTTTTCTGATGACTCATTGAGATCCTTCCAAGGAGCTACATATACAATACCCTCCTCTTGTAATTGATTTATAAAATATTCAATAATCTCTTTACCCTGTAACGATTTCCATCAGTCTCTTTTCATTTAAATAACAAAAGCTGTAGGTAGAAAATTTGATAATATAAATAATACCTTTGCAATGTTTTGAGCATACTGTTTCATTGCTAATTTTTCCATTGAGTTCTCAAAACCAAAAAAGTTCTTAATATCTAAACTCGCGGTTTGTTCAAAACATGTCCATTCAGAATTTTCAGGATGAATCTGCAAATATCATATTAAATTAATTTTATTATCAAGTTATTAAAATTGGCATTTTATTTACAAAATTTATAACCATCTAAAAATCTTTAAATCTTCATTTATTTTATAAAATATCTACTTCAGAAGTTATAAATTATAAATAAAATAATGAATGATTTACAATGAATACTTACAAAATATCTGCATTTTTCAATAACTGTTACTCTGGATGAAAAGCTTTCGTTGTATGCTTCTATTTCTAAAATACTATTTCTCCTGTCTAAAACGTTCCTCTGAATGAAATATACAAAATCTACCCCAATAATCTGAAACAAAATGAGGAAAAGATTTTTCTTCCATAATAGCAGAATATTACTTAAATTCATTTTGTTGTCCTAGATACAATTACAAAATATTACATATGAAGAATAAGTTTCATGAAAATTTTCAATGATCTTTTATTACTGTATGGTTATTTTGTATTTGTTGAATTAATAGTTTAATTGTAAACCATTCTACATTTTTTTAAATACTTCGTAATGATCAGAAAAGTATTTATCAAATCAAATGTCTCTTCCAAAATCAAATAATATTTCTCTCTAACATTTCCTTCCTGCTCTCAAAAGTAGCGAATTTTTAATGTAATTATGGGTATACGAATTTTTATTCTGGCCGAGAGTGTTAAACCTGTAAATAGGATTATCTAGGCTTGAATAAGAAAAAATACGAAGATATACCGAGACCAAGTACAATAGAAACAAAGCATACTTCAACATTTACAATTAAAATAAAACAAAAATGATATTATTAGCATAAATTTTCAGAAACCTATAATTAGGGATTCCCAAAGAATCAAATATAAAATCCGACAGATCAACTGAAGTATAGTTGGTTCAAACGATATAGCAAGTAAATTATTGCATCAAACAACGGTTCTGATTGATGCCAAAACGATACTGCCAGTAACTTGTGCGATTCATTTGAACGATATAACACACTCGTAAATTATTGTATTAAGCTGAGACCCCAAATGATATCGAAATGACACTGTCGCAGTGATGACAGCGCAGAAATGACACTATGAAGTCGCTCACGAGTACTCAAGACCATCTGCAGATTGCGATTGTAAGTTAGGTCTAGGGAACTAGCATCCATTGACTACACAATGTCTATTCCCTTCTAACGAAACGTTTCACATCATACCTATTTCAGTCTACGTCTGTGTACTTGACTATACAGGGTGGACCAGGTAGAGAGTAACAAATTTTCTTTGAAATTTTCTAATATTAATCCTTTGCACTCGAGAGGTGCCCTTTAGTCACCATTTGATAAAATTTCGAAGCTCGATATTAATTAATATATCAAATTTAAAATAATGTGACAGTATGAGAGGTATCGAAACTAAATAATTCTACGTATTAATTATTGTACGATTTCTTACTTACTGCTCAAAAAATATCATCAGCCTTATAGCAGAAAATTTTTCAACTCGTATCCTTTTTTAACCAAAAAATCGCCGAGCGCAAAGGGTTAAATAGTATTAACATTTGATATTAATTTAATATTACACTATTACATTATAGTATACACATATTATAATATTAGTACTAATGAATGACTGTAAAATATTATGAGAGTGAGTTTTTTAAGAGGGGAAAAGATGCCATCCTCTAGTCAAAGTTTCCCTTACATGAGATATTTTCAGCCATAATTCCTCAACTGTACAGAATAAAAACAGTGCCTTAAGTAAAAGTTATAGTGAAAGTTGTTGATAGTATCTTGAATATTGAAAAATTAATATGTCATTCTATTTAAAGGAAAGCCTTTTCAACTTTAAGAAACTATTACACCCTGACCATAGTACTTTACACTCTAAAATGATAGCCTCTTTGTACTATTTGATGCCTGAAAATTTTTAAATGGTATCTGCAGTGGCTTTGGAGAAAATTGTTTGCGACACTCTATCTGTCCCACCCTATATATAGTAAGTTCCAGAGTAGCCACGGTCACACATCTGTGCTTCAGGCACAGACCAGGTTACGAGAGAAACAATAGTTAATGGTGGGAGAATTATCAGGCTAATGCAACTATAACGGAAATATTTTCCAAGCCTGCTGTATCTATTTAACGCCAAGCAGTTAAACAGAAAGAATTGTTTACTAATTTTAAATCTAAACTTAGTCCATCAATTACCATTTGCTACTAATTTACTACCATTAAATCCAATTCAGTGACTCAAACATTTAAAAAAACTCGAATTTTTGTACAACATTTTCAGCAATATCCAACACCACAAAAATCCATTCCAAATTGACAACGGGCGGCATTGATTGACACTTCGGTTTATTATTTTTCCTAGATATCTAAACTGCTTAATTTGGTAGATGGAACATGTGTACTATACGTGCCTTATAAGAAATCTATTGCGGCACTAGGACCGCGTGTCCCAAGTTAAGTGGTGGACTGTTTTATGTCCTTATTGTCAGCGTCGCTATGAACGAAAATCGCGTTTAACCGTTTGAGTCCCAGAAGGGAGAAAGCGCGGTCGCGCTGCTTGGGACTCAAACGCTTAAGCAGAAATGAGCGCTGCTAGTTTCGAATGACTATCGCGGCAGCGGCTCGGCCTCACGGTACGGTTTACTCAAAACCGCTTCGTCCGCAAAGGGTTAAGTGGGGGGACTGTTTTATGTCACTATTGCCAGGATCCCTTGACTCACGGACACTCGTTGTCACCTGGCCATCACTTGGGTGAACCTTAGACGTTGAAGCTAACACACACATCAGATATTATTCACAACCAATAGAAAGACACGCACACCCGCCACTTACATCTCACATCAACCAATCAGTAGACATACAAATTTATAAAACCACTGAGACAGGAATTGTACGGTGAGTTCTCAAAATTTCAAGAAGACAAGCAAGCATCACGATCAAGGATTATACTTCAATCTAAAGCAATCAAGACAGTCCCACGACGATCAACTCAGCGCCGAGGGACGGTCGTACATTAGAACTCTTTAGTTCAACCCTAACCAGGTCTAGCTCTATTAATTTAGAGAAGGCCGCATCCCAGCAACATTGTCGCATTCGCGAAACAGGCTGTGGGGGATCTCCACGGGGGTTTATAGATGTTTTCCGTCTTCCTCTTGCAGCTCCTACTGATGAGCTGCTGTTCCTATGATGCTGGCCTGATGGTATTCCCGTAGTCATCGTTGTTATTGATAGGGTAGTAGGTAGAAGGACGACAGGAAAAGGAAGGGATGCGTTTTGTCCCGGGCCTGCTAGTGGACTCGTCAGTAAGGCTTTCTTCTAGCAGGTCCTGCCTTAGACAGGGATACTTAGGTAGCATAGGAACTTCTATTTAAGGAAGGCCGAAGATTCGCCGAGGCCTTGCGAGAAAGTCCTGGAACCTCCTTCAAATAGGAATCCATCTATTGACGAGGGTGAGAACGTTGGTCACTACAAGGCCTTACACCCTCGCAAAATTTCGATATGAGAGTTGCAGTGTTCGGGACGTAACAAAATCCATCGGAAGAAATGTAGATCTAATTGGTCCGAATAGATGAGAACACCGATTCAACACACACTTTCTAGCCAAACTATTAAGCAAAATGATCACACAAGTGACGAAATGTGTCACGATGAATAGGTATAATCGTATTATTCCTCTTGCCCCCATGCACTCTCATAATACTTCTTGTGAGGTATGCACTGTATATTTAAGATCAACTGATTTTACGATACTCTCTATATTTGAACCAACTAGATAGATGTTTCAGGAATTAGTCGGATTTTTGCCTTGGTTATTGCCCAGTCGCTTGACCAGCTCTAAAACTAACTTCGCTAATGACAGTTGAGGGCACAGTCACGGATTGACGATGTTACGCACAACCAGCAGAGTGAAATAATAAAAACATTTGCAGACACTTTTACGTCTTACTATTACCCGAGAATGCGTGACTTCCTGCTTGCTAATTTGTTTATGTTCGGGACTTGTCGCCAGCAGACTGCTGAACAGCACTAGTTTAACACGTTAAGTGCCTAGTACGTTTTGCTTGCCATTCCGTTCAGGCCCAAACTCGGCCGTTAAGTGGGCCATAGGTGGCGGGCGAAGTATATGAGTCATAAAACTCAGATACTGTACCAATTGTTATAATAGAAATTTCCAAATGTTAGGTCCAGAGATGGCGAAGAATTTAACACCAAAAGTTAGCACCTTTTAATCCTAGTCTGAGCCGGTCCTGAATGGAAAGTCTCTAATCTCTGGGGACCGGCGTGGCACTTAACATGCTAACTGCACGCGTACTGAGTGAATATTTGAAGTCAATTTCTCAACAACGAAGTTTCGAATGAAAAATTTGTATTCTTTACTTTCGATTTGCCTTTTCATGTCGAATAATCTCTTTTCCGATTGTACTACAATTGCTAGAACACCCTGTATATGACCATCTGCTTCGACTTTATGTATTGCACGGCTGATTGGATTTATGAGCCATTCGACATTTTTTAGAGTTCTTATTTGGTATTTTAATCCTTTCTTCGTCAAGCGTGTCGTATAATGCAATAGCTATTGGTTCGATATTTATATTCATAGTCATATAATAATAAAACATTAGAAAAGCCTTTAATGAAAATAGTAGCAGCAATATAAACGGAAAACTTCGCGTTTATAAGGACGCTATATTATTATCAAAATTTCGGTTTAATTTTTGGTCAATCCATCCAAAACAGAGTAAAAGCAGATATGTACTGTCGATTCTCGACTTTTCCGATCGCATCCAAAAATAGTTTGTTTTAAGAGCTGGGACCTTACTTATATTACTTTCAACAATTCAGGTTACTATTTAAAACCAAACAAAAAATCGATTTTGTCAAAAATTCAAATTGTCCTGTCCCCTTAATGTGTAGTAATTAAAAAGTGATTACAATTTTTATTTCTTATACAAACAAATAAACATTTCGTTTCAAGAATCATCTTGATATTTCGTTAATAAATATCATTTTGTTTGTTCCATAATATGTGAAATCTTTACAGGAACCATTTTTCGGCTGGGAGTTAGGTTGAAGGAACGATGTGTACTAAAAGGTTAATTATAAAAATTCTGAATTTCATTTTATATCAATAAATTCTGTTCTTCGTTACAAGAAACAATTTTTAATAAAATAACTGCAACGCCAGAAAATTTTGGTCGCTTGCCGACAGTTGCTCATAAAGAATTATTTATATATTTATTTATTTATTTATACGGAATTAACCCATTAGAAGAATTACCAGAAAATTATTACAGTGAGATATAAAATTAATGGCAACAAATAAAAATAAAAATAAAAATATAGAAATACACAAACAGACGAGATGTGTATAAGTATAGGAAAACAAAATTTTTTTACAGAGAGATGCGATGTAGTAGCTGTTTTATAGAGTGAAGAGATTGGCTGAATAGATCTAGGGTACCATAAGTGTTGTTAATATTAATAATCATTCTATTAATATCTACTAATACTACTAAAGTTGTATCGTCTTAAATGAGAAGTTGAAACATTGATTGAGAATTTTTCTAACATATCAGAACAATTTATAAGACCATTGAACACTTTATAAACAAAAAGAATATCGTTAATAATTCAATAGTCGGCATTGCGGAAGTTTCGTTTTTGAGTGTAAGAGGATGAATAATTGAGGGATGATGAGAAGGGAATAGAGAAGTGAATAGAAGGGTTGATAAGAGTTGGAAGGTATTAAAAGTTCAGTCACAGGTAATACTATGGAAATGTGAAGAGAGGAGAAAAGGAGATCGAGGGGAATTATAATATATAGGGTGTTCTAAAATTCACGTAAGAAGTAATTTTGATAGTAAACGCAGGTTTTCAATTAAAAATTGTAAATATTGCTCAACAATGAAGACGCGTTGTTCTTTCGTGTAGCGCTCCATTTTAAATATCCCTGAACTGTCAATTGTCACGCTGTGTTGGCAATACTTTACCGCACAGATGGGGCCAAATTCAAATCTTGCGTGAATTTTGGGACAAATTTCATTGCGTCCAGGATTGCATCAGAATAAAATTCTTTTGCATTTCACGATATAGACAATTTTATAATGCACACGATAAAACATAAATATACGTACCTTTTTCAAAATATACGGGGCTTCAACGTTTAATTTACAACGGCGTTCCGTTATTCTAAGCGCGCCATTTTTGCTTTCTTCATCTGAAACTATCTCGCAACCAACAAAAACAGGAATCTGCGGGCAGGTAGGAAACCTGCGTTCATATGCCTACGAACAAAATTGAAGTTCATGAAAATCCACGTAAAAATTTGTCGAAACTTTTATTTATTAATAGTACATGCAAAAACCGCGAAATATAAAACACAGAAATGAAATCACGTATTAGTAGATTGACAAAATTCTTTTGGTAAAAGTAAGCCCAAACATAACCTAACTCGCTCTTTCTTGAGTCAAATAGCAATGCACTTTACCGCTGCAATATTTTCCCTCGACACTTGTATATTTCTTCCTTGAGTTTTCAAATTATTGATCAATTCAGAAAGTATTTAACATTAAAATTCTTACAAAGGAGGATTTTATTTCTAAATTCCAAATTACTTATTCCTTATATGTTTGTCCTCATCATTCTACAATTTTTTTTCTAAATAATCTTCGTTGATACTTACAATCTTTCAGAATTATTTTTTTAAAACTATATATATATATATATATAATCGTTTCAGTATATTTACTGTATATGTATTTCAATGTATATTTTCTTTGTTTGTAATAATTTCATCATGTGGGTATATTATACCCACACACACCACACATAGAAGCACATAGGAATAACAAATTTGATATAACACTACATAATCAGTGTTAACCTCGACTTGAAGTATGGTACACCGTCCACCAAAAAAGCTCACTTATAAAGGTAACTCTATGACTATTTTCAAAACGTTATCATGCAATGTTTGTGACAGTTCATATTCTGATTTGCTTACTGGGATGAGTCCATTCCTCGTCGATGCCTAACCTAGCTGTCGTAGCCTCGGGAGCTTGCAAGCTCGCACCACGACAGTTAACGAGGAAGGTGGGTACTTCAGGTATTGTCTGCTGTTACTTGCCTCTTGTTTTCTTGAATCTGAATTGGTGATGGGAGTGAGAATCAATGAGAGCGAATGAAATACAGTGAAATGCAATTTAAATGATGTTCTATGTTATACTGCTGTCTTTAAAAAATTTTCTCGACATTCAAAATCAGGTATGTCGATACATATGATGTGTTAAAATGAAGGAGCAAGTATTTGGAAATTTCGTACAAGTATTACCACATTTTGGACGCACAATTTATGGTACGAACATTTAGCGGAATTATTCTTAAAAAAAGTAGATCAACGTTTTAATATTTTAATTGAAAAGCAAGTTGAAGTACGGATGTGTACATACACAGACATGAATACACTTAATTTGTGAGTAACGATGTAAAGTCTTTTACGTTATTATATTTCTTTTAAGCTAAGTGTGAGGTGAATAATATGAAAAATACAAATACATGTACTTTGAGGCGTTTTTTAATATTTAAGTTGTGCTTGATCATGAAATACATGGACAATTTTTCACATATTTCCACAAACTGCTAAATTATCAATGAGACACCACGTATATTAATTAATCATTATCACACGAACACTGTCTTCTCAATCCCATTCCCCTAATCTCATGTCGATGAGATCATGCCTGCATCGATACAATTTTTCAAATTAAATAGGATGTTTTTGAGTCATTGACAGAAAAACATAACAGGTTGACGAAAGTTGTTGAAGAATACAAAATAAATAAACTATTTTCGTTTATTTTGGCTTAATACAATGGCTCAAACAAAATACACATGTAGTCAGTGCTTTGAAAATGTCTCAATGCTGACTACAAAAATATGCAATAAAATATATAGCATTCTATTTAAAAATTTGAACGCAATCTCCAGACAGATTTCTAGGGTAATCTCAAGGTCAAATAACTGTCATTACGATATAATATATCCCTTCATATCCTACAACTTTTGTCTGAAACATTTTTTCATAGCGTAGATATCTTCCGAGATAATTGGGACACCCTGTAGATGAAACACTGAGTAGGAACTTCAATCTATGACTTCGACGATTGTTAGAACAACATGGTTCATCCCTTCAGATACACACTAAATTACAATATCATCAGGACAGACACAGTCCAATCCACTAGAACAGGAGTTGCCTTTATCCTCTACAAATTAATTCTATATAAACAAACACCACAATCCACCACCACAACAATAGAAATCAACACTCCAAAGAACCAAACTAAATCCAAACACAAGAATAATATACTCTGCACCAAAAAATAAATCAAGGTAGGGAGTTTGATAACTCAAAATTCTTGGTAACAAAAGAGAACCTAATAGCAAAGTAGCACCTTTGTCAGTGTCAAACAGGTGAAAACTCTTAAGGAAGAAAAACCTATGTTTCATTAACTTACCATCAGGAAATGCCAGGCTTCTATCAGCAAGCAGTGTCATCAGTCACTGCTTCGCGTTGAGGTTGTCACATCTTCACTGTCAGTTCAAACGAACTTCACCTGCTTCTCAAATATAGTTATGCCGAATGTGACTTTGTCCACTGCTGTCATCGATGTCCTAAATGTCAATGAAAGACTACAATCGCACACTATGTTATTAAATTCTTACTCCCAAAGACACTTATTAAGCTAACGAATAGTAATTGAATAGAAATCGCAAAAGATTTCGAATCTTCTCAGAGTGTATCAAATAAAATCTGAAGTTAGTCGTATCAACCAAACACAGACGTAATGTAGAACTTGTTCAGAGAGCCTCACATTTCCAATCACGAAAGAAACGTCAATTGCAGCATCCACAGAAGTTATACAGAGGTTTAATTGAAACTCAAAATTCTAATTGGGATCCATTTACTGGGACCTAGCTCTTGCCAAATCAATGGACGGTGTTTAAACATTTTAAGATTTAGTACATGTCAATGGAATTACTGTACGAGATTCAACTATAGAAGACAGAGTGTTTACAATTAGATTCTCAGCTCATTCAATAAGAATATTCAAAGATTTTGGAATATTGAGGATTGCCACTCAATAAAATCAGGATTATGAAATCAATTATCTACAGAATCGATTGGTCGATGAACATTAGATTATACACACCATACGAAACTTAAACAGTAAATGTATATAACCAAATTACCATTTAAGTAACCAATTGTCAAATTAATTTTAAATTATTTTATAGCTTAAGTAGTCAACAAAGAATTTTATTTCTCGAAGAATCACATGATTTATTAGAAAAATACTGTGGGATTGCGAGCGATTTAGAGTGAAGGAGCCTAACAAAGGAATAATAAATAGCGGCATCGGTTTCGACTTAGACGTTTAGAACGATGTGTGGAATGCGTGCGGATGGATGAGTGACCACCTGCAAGGATTGTACGAATGAGATATTTATGACTAGGTCGAGTATAAGCAATGAACGAAAGTCTAGGAATGCGTCCGAGTGTCTAAAGTACCTGGCCCACCAAAGGCGAGGTTGCGTGGGTAATGAGTGATCAACGAAGAGAGCTTGTGTATGAAAAGAGAGAGTATTAGACTTCAACCCTTTCGGTACTACTACCACCCAATGGCGGCGGCCATAAAACGTTCTCTGGGTACTACCGTCGCCTATTGACGGCATCTACGAAACGTTCTCTAGGTACTACCGTCGCCTATTGGCGGCATCCACGAAACGTCACCGATGACTATCGCGGTCCGAATGAAAAGTTTAGTGTCAATCACGCTTGAGATTTCTATGAATACCGCAAAACACGTTTTCGTGGCTTCCAGTGCAACCACTCTTGTGGAAAACTTCCTCGTACCACGAATGTATAATCGCGGCCAGCTCCTCCGTACTGAAAGGGTTAAAATAAGGGTGCAAGGGCGCGGAGATGGCAAAAGGCAAAATGTGTGTAGTCGAGACATAGTGAACAGAGGATCGTGTATTTGAGAGTTAGAATTAAGAGAAACTTAGTGTAATATTTTAGTTAAATAAACCTGTTTTGTTATTAAAAAGGAGTTGTTGTTTATTAGACGCGCAGATCTCTGTCTGCATAGGATTAATCTAGCAAAAAATCCTACAATACAAGAACCTGTGAGAGTAACAGGCTGTAGAGTAATACTTTCGCTAAAAAATTAAAAGAAAGTGCTTGCAATAAATACACTGGAGTGAAAATACCGTGTTTATCCGTTTAAGTGCTAAGCCAACATCGAAGAGTACCATGTCACCGGACTGCAATGTGTAATTGTCAATGTATTTGGACTGTGTAGCATCCTACCCGATTAATCTTATTGATACTTGCTCTACGAAAGACGAGAAGAGGTCACGACCCTTTTCACATGTAAAACATAGAAATAATATTGTAATATGCAACTATAATATCGCGAACATAGTCCTACAGATGTAGACCAACATGTAAACATGTAGACATGATGCATAAATAAGATTATTATCCTTCATAAAATGGAGCACATAAGACTTACGTATGTAAGGGTTTATCTGTAAGAATAACGAGCTGCAGTGACATAAAATGGCGTGTGTGATAGGCACGTTGCGGTAGATAACACTATTCAACAAATATTAACCCTTTCGCTACGGGTAGACTCTCCGCCGCGGTACACCCGCAGAACGAGCCGCCGCAGTACTCCCGCAGAACGAACCGCCGCGACGAAACTGTGCACGGTGCGCGAGACCGATCGTCAGAGGCATTTGGTTTTCTGAGTACTGAGGTCCGTAATAAACAAATAATGCAAAACAAAATACTCACTCTGCATGTTCAGAGTGAGACAGTTGATGTGCAATAACTGCAGATGTTCGTCGTATGTACAATACGTGGACATACAATATTTTATGGAGAGCGACTATAGTCGCCCGTAGTAGCGAAAGGGTTCATTTTTCTCTAATCTGTAATATGTTATAGGTGATTCTCGCAGAGCTTACTTTCCTGAACACGAATCAGTAATCAAAATTGCACTATCACCTACAGTTTTCAAAAAATGTGAGTTTTTCTAAAGACACGCTATATTTGACTAAAATAAAGCATTACATAAGAATTAAAAACGTTAGGAGGTTCGTTATTATCTTATAAGTTAGACTAGAGTATTCTGAGTCTAATAATTTTCGTAATTATAATTGTTTATTCTCCTGAATAATTATAATTGGTCATCGAAGTTTAAAAGTAGGCCTTCAAGTGCACTTTCTATGCATGTTCCTGCATTTTAAAAAAAAAATGTCTGATCTGACACGAATTTGTGACACAGTGACGTACTCTGTAGGCTTTTTTGAAGAAGGTTTAAAAGTTTCACCGTTCTCGGTGTACAGTCGAGTCTCCTATAACACGATTAATTCATACCGCGTTATATGAAAAGCGTGTTATAAGAAAATCAGAATTAACCCATTTGCATCATGGCTCTACTTAAGGTGCCGCGTTCAGGCATCAGCGACGTTCAACTGACGACTAGCCAGTATCACCGCACGCGTATCTGCACCTACTCATAATGGCAGTTAAAAGGATTTTCACAACAAAAGTAAAACTTCTTAAGAATATAATGAACCGATGTAGATGAGATGCTCACAAAAGGGATCAAACGTGGTCTGTGGCATATGAAGAATATTCAGCAACTGATAATGGAAAAAGTCAGCTCGCGGAATATTCCGTGCTTGGATGCAAATGGGTTAATTGAAATCAGGAAATGCATTCTATGAAAATCGCGTTATGATAAACATAGTAATAAGACAAATCAGATTAATTTATACCGCGTTACATAGGAACTGCGCAATAAGGAACTCAGAAATAATACAAATTGAATGAACTCGTACCGCGGTATATGGAATCTCAGAAATAAATAAACTGTACATAAATCAGACCTATAAAACTATATTCTCAAAGTGTCAAGTTGCGATTGATACGGTTAATAAATAAAATTTTATAATAGAAATGGCAATGAATATGTAAATTTTTACATATTTGAATATAGTTTTATCGAATATAATACATAATTGATATAATAAAATTATAAATTAAAAAAATTGTTTCGAGCAAAAAGACTTAATTTGATACATATTAGTGACGCATCCTAATTTAAAATAGGATCCTAACATGTTAATATTAAACAGTTTATTACTTTGTTTTATATAATTATCTTTTAGGCGCCTGTCAAAGCCCTTATTAATACTAGGTTTACGGACGCTATCTGTATACCTATAACTAAGGACACCTGTAAAATTGACAGGTAAAGGAAGCCACATGCCTTCTTTTTTAACAATTAGTTTAATTTAAAAACAATTATATATTATATTAACAGTCTTAATATAAGTTAACTAAATCAGTTACTATCGTATAATTGAAGCAACCCTACCGTCAAATTCACGGGTTCCGTAAATCTAGTGTTAAAAAGCTTTCCTATCATAAGTTCTCTTATCCATCAATGTTATTCCATATTTCTTCTTATTTATATTTATTTCCAAAACGAATGATTTATTGTCAAACATTTTTATGAAACCGCTTCAGTCTGATCAGAATTCAGATATTCTTATCATGTGGTTTATACATTGGGGATACCACAATTAGAATATTTTATTATTCATCGTCACTGTCAAATATTTGCAGTCTAACCCTATTTTTCTAATTGGTAAAAAATCCTTCTCATTTTACAAATTTTGTTCTCGGTTTTCAGATGTTCTTTTATTTTATAGTTCTTCCAAAACCTCTTTATATGGAGCCAAGCAATTTTGAAATTCTCTTTTAAATTTTGTACTGCGTATCGTTGAAGCATCATTTTGAGTTAACCCCTTGGCTACTGTGGGCGCATATACACGCTCAGAAATTTTGCTTTTGTGACACGGAAGGCGCATATAAGCGCTCAACACAGTTTGCTTTTCTGACACGGAGGGCGCATCTCTACCCAAAATTTTGCCGTTCTCGGCGGACATTGTATATTAATTCTTAGGCGTGTGGTACGACCGGTGCGTTTCAAAGTCTAACGTAGTTAAAAGGTTAAAATTTTTTATTGGGACATCAAAAACATATTGGAACAAATCTTACATCTAACGGTGCACTCCCGTGGCGTCCTGAGGGAAACACGTGATTTTGGCGTAACAGTCAAAGGATTAAAGAGTTAAAAAGACCTTTTGTTTTCTGGAAACGTTCAGTTCCAAACCCGAAACAGTACAAAGTGTATTAGCTGTTATAATCCATAAGGACACCTACTTCTTTTCTTTGTATTTCCATACGTGTATATACATTTCACTAATAATAAACTTTATACATTCGTCACTATACAACTGTATACGGTTAGCACCCTGCACATTATAATAAACTCTGTAATTTCAATCTAGAAGTTACAACAATAGCACTTTCCAATTTTTTGGCTAATTCAAGAAATTTACACAGACTTTCTGCAGTGAATGAATTCGTTTCTTCATAGTCACTAGTTGCATTCATCATTAGGTTGAATGATATGATATGAATTACAGTCTATCCAATTAAAGCATATTCGGCGTAATTTATTGAAAAATTCATTTATTCAAGTTTTAAAATACAATAGTTTTGGAACTATCTTTTACAAGAAGCAAAAAGTATTGATTTTATTAAGCGACGAAGCTTGTTCTTTCATTTTATTTTTATTTCTTTATGAAGCTTGTTAAAAATTGCACAGCTTTTTCCCTTATCATGAAACTATTCTTAAGTTTTTCCATGTTGTCATCCATCCAAATTATCAGTGCTTTCTTCACATTTTCTATTATAGGATTTCTTGTATATGATGAACGCAGTGAATTTGATAAGGTTCCAGAGGTCATGCTACTCCTGATATTTTCCTTTCTTTTCTTGATTGTTCAGGCAGTGGATTCATTTATCCTATATGCCTTAGAAATCACTGTAGGTTTGTTTCCTTCTTCAAGTCAATTTAAAATTTTCATTTTCATTTCCAAAGTCACAGATTTTCTCCTTTTTCGTGTCATTGAACATTTGTTAAATATTTCTGGGCATGTCTGGACGATTTGGCTTTTCTTTCGTCTTTGTCGCTAGTCTCAACCGATTTCTCCTAACAACCAACTATTAATAAAACTCTTAACGAGATAACGTGGTCTGGTCGCGTAAATTATGGTATAATTTTTCGCGTAGAAAAAGTACCGTATAACTCAGAACTCGGAATTCGGAACTTAGAACTCAGAATCTAGAACTTAGAACTTAGAACTTAGAACTCAGAACCTAGAACTCAAAACTTAGAACTCAGAGCTCAGAACTTAGAACTCAGAACTTAGAACTTAGAACTTAGAACTTAGAACTCGACTGAGAAATGAGAATAAATAAATTTTTATAATAATTTTTTATATTTTAAATTTATAAGATAAATTAATTTATACGAGTGTGCTCTAATTTCATCTGTTGTAAAAATAATAATTTTAAGACTGGCAGAATTCTTTTTAATTACGTTCTGTTCATTATCAACTAACTTATCAACAGCAATTTTCAAATATAATATAAATATAATATCGTAAATAATTTTATAAAAAATATTTGGAGTTAGCCTACTATTTATATTTCTTTTTAAATATGATACTTAACGACTCTGTTTATAAATATTTATTTTTCGCTTTTAAATAATTTGGTAAAATATGAAAAAAGTGTGTATATCATTTCCGTTTGATATTCGTATTAACAAATTTTTGAAAAAAATTATAAATAATTACAAAAATACAAATTTTTTGATACCATATTTATATACAAATTTTTATTAAAACTAGCAATTTTAAGTTACATAATGTTCCTCCTATCGACTGAATTTTACGTACGATATAATTATAAGATGGAAGAAACATCAACAGATCATAGTATTTGCTGAAATATAAATTCAAGACTGAAATATAAATTCACGAATGCCATTTAAACATCGATTGACGATCTATAATTATGTAATCATTTTTTGTTGGATAGAGTTCACTGCACAGTAAACTCCACCTATTGCACACCTTAGTATTATAATCTAATACGATAGTTCTTGTCATATGAATCTATTTTAGATTGCTTGATTCGAACTGTGATTTATGTTTTTATTGCGTCTTATATAGTAAACTAACTTCAAATATTTTTTATAAAAATATTTAAAATATCATATTTGAAAAATGCTTTTGATAAATTAGTTGATATTGAACAGAATTCTGCCAGTGTTAAAGCCATTATTTTCACAACAGATGAAATTCGAGTAATTACTGCAAAATTTATATCAATTAAAAAATTGCTTACTATTCCATACAGAATTCCTAAGAAAGATGGTATCCAAGGACAATTCTATTTCAGTTTGATGTTTCAATTGAATAAACACAGCTGCCTTGTTAATTTTCATGAATTATCGTCTCCAATTGACAAAATTTTTCACCAATCTGAGACAATTTAATAGAAATAGCAAATATTGCTGATTATGAATAATTATTTAAACCTTCCAACAACAAGATTAACTGTACAAAAGATTATTAATACAAGTATAAAGCATCAAGTGTTGCTTGTGTACTACAATTGTGCAAAAATATATGAATATTGTTGTTTTAAAAGAGAACTATATGACCAAATTTCCATTGCTCATTATAGATTTAGTCGTATCCTATTTAATTTAAAAAATATATTTTCCTACCAATGCTTAATAAATATCATTCTCATGAGTATACAATAATTAAATCGTAGAATTTTTATGATGTATAAAATCTCCATGAAACACAAAAATAGCTACAAATACTCATAAAATTAATTCAGGTCTAGAAATAAATTTTTAATTAAAGTTACTTTTATTCTGGCCAAAAGAAAAATTTTTACAAAAAAGAAAGAAGAATAATGTATACAAAATAAAAAATCCAATCGTTTTTCTCTCATAAGATATGAACTAATATAGAGAATAAAAAGAAAAGAAAAAGAAATAAATGGCAACCAAAGATATTATTTCAAAACAAAGTTACAAATAAAAATTAGATATATCGTAATTAAAAAATTTGTTTCTAAAATTTCATTGTATTTTAAAACATATTTCTATTTACATCATTTTTAAATATCTTTTAATAAAAATCACTAAAATTTCCAATATTAACCTCATATGTAAATGCGTAATATAAATAATAAATAGTTTTACACGCTTTAGTTATACACTATATAATACTACATATTACTTTGTCAAAAGAAATGTTATTTTAGCATATTTTGTTCCTGTAATAAAAATATGATATATAACTTGTTACTTTAGAAAAAAAGAAACTGTTTCTTAAATGTGTAGATTTTAAACACATTAATTGGAAAAATATAGTTGTAGATAGATATATTAATAGAAACCATATAGTTGTACCCAAACACATTAACTACAAACATATTAGTGTTTAAAGCATTCCAAACAACACAGTTAACTGTGACAAAATTTTCTTATTTTTATGAAAACATAAATATTAATTTATTCAAGTGTTAAAGTAAATATATCACAGTTACAAAAAATTTAATAAGAAGTTTTTGAATACAAAATTTAATATTAAAGGAAAAAAATAATTAAAAAGATAAAAGATTAACTTCAATGAATCGTATTTTATAAAAAAAATCATTTTTATATATATAATATGTAAAACATTAAACGTTATAAGTTAATTTACATGGTTTAATAATAAAACATTATAGGATATTAAAAATTAATAATAACTTATAAACTACTAAGAAAAGATAAAGACCTTGATAACGCAAATTGACTAGCAAATTTTTAGTAATATAAAAAAAAAAATTAAATCGTTGTATGCTAATCCTAATACTTTGTGTCATAATAAACAATCAATATAAGACTTTTTAATATTGTGTAGAATTTATATCTATTTGCTTATTTTCGTTCATCAACAGAAAATCTTATATCTAAAGAATTATACTAGAAATCCATATATTTAAGTTCATAACTAAAAAGATGTATCTGATGTCATAGTGTAAAATCAATAGCACAGACACTATAAATCATAGTATCGAAGATAAAGCACTCATAAATAATCATAAATTAGAATATAATCCTAAAAAAATCATTCAATATGTTAACACATTGCAAGCTAGTCCTATAGTATTGCATGATTCTGTTATTATAAATATGCTTGTAGGTACTTGATACTATTTCTTTTTTATTTTGCCTTAATTTTAACATGTAGCAAAAATATAGTATATTTTCTTGAAATATATATTACACATTATTTTGTAAAAATATAAAAAGTATTTAATGCATCTTTTTTTAGATACTTATCTCCTGTAACAACTAAAATTTTACCTGTGTACTATGTGCTAAATAAAGTAAAATAGACTTTAACTAGAACAAACAAAATTTTTAAGAAAATTTATTCTAAATACAAATCAACCTTATTTAAAAAAAAAATATACCTTTAAAAAATATATATATACATTTAAAAAAACTTTAAAAAATATTTTAATAGATCAAGTATATAGAACAAGTATTAAAATAAGAAAATATTTTTCATAAATAAAAACTGTTAACACAAAGTGTTGCACTAATATAGGATAAAACCTTTTTCTACCTAAAACCAGGAAACATGTTGTTTATGTCAGAGAACAAATAATAAAATTTTATGAAAACGAAGAATGTATAAAATTCATATTTAAAAATATAACTGCGTGTCCCTAAATATGTAATTAAATGAAAAGATGGACCAATATTAATTATACTGTAAATTACATATTAGGAATTAAAAATAAGTTATCTAATGTGCAAAATAAATATAATTTAGTAATTAATAAATGTTTATAAAAATCTTTATGTAATCATTATTACAAACATTTAAATAAAATAAAGTTAATTATTTTTTTCATGTTGCAGCATCTGGCTGTGCTATTTATTTCAAAAAAAGAACAAGTTACTTGTGACATATTTTAAATGCTATGTAACTAATAAATAATATATTTATGATAGAAGTGTAATACACAACATGATTGAGCTAGCTTTTTACCGTCTTTAATGTATTAATTATTATATACATTATATAACAAAATTTCTTAACCTATGTGAACTTTGGATTACTAGCATCAACTTTCTAAATTACAATACATTCATTTTTTCAATTCCATATTTTGAAATTAACTATAAATTTGTTTTATTAATTTACATACTATGTGTAATTTATTATGTATTATGTACGTTATATACATAATATACACATACATATATATATATATAGTATATATAATTACAATCACGCGAAGGACTCCTTAAGAGACAGTGGTGTGTAAGTACTGGCGAAAGGAGCAGGACTCACACCCGGCTGACGAGCTTAACGTTAACGCCCGTGGTTCCGAGGAGGATCACGTGGAAAGTAAAACTATAGCGAGTATATATATATATATATATATACTTATACACTAAACATAATTCAATAGTTTAAAAAGCAACATATGTAAATATAAGTAATCTATACCGGAATAAAATGTTAAATACATTAAATACATTACTACTGAAATAATAAAATATACAACGCACCATCATCACGAGTGGAAAAGGATGCTTATACACCCGAACAGGTGATTGATACTGTTGAACCATATCACGTCTTCTTACAAACTGGCTGCTAACTTAAACTGTAATATAAATAGAAATAAATACAACTATAACAATTTAACTAATTTAATTGAATAAGACCAATCAAGTTCAATGTTAACTGACCGAATGATAAATAAATTTTATAGGTTACGATAGGCCGATTTTTAACCTTGTCTTATTTCATTCAATATTTATGTCACTGCACTTTCTAACATTCAAAAAATATTTTAAGGCAAAATATTAAAAACAATGTATCTTATAAACAAAAACTTGATATAATTGGTATTTCATTATCTACCATATAATACAGAAACAAAAAAAAACACAAACCACACAGAAATGTCATAGACTTCAATAAATGGCGCAAACACAGATTATAATTATAGAACAACCAATCGAAACTAGCCACCAACGGTAAATGACAGCACATAGGTCCTTGGACTGGAACCAATCAAATTATAACAACAAAGATCAATTCAAATATACTACATTTAAATATTCAAGTGGATTTAAAACAGTTGTATGAAATCTTAAAGAGTTTCATATTAATTATACTTAAACTATAATTGTATAATTAAGAATATAAATATTTATGATAATTAAATAGGAAGTATCCATTTCTTTTAGATAAATTCTTTAATAAATTTCTTTCGAATCCTAAAAATATTATATTACAGTTTAGAAAAGGTATCGCCTGATGTGATTCTAGTTAATTTATTAATGCGTAAATTAATTTAGTAATTTATTACAATTTAAAAAAATTTGAAATGCAGAAGTTATTATACAATGACGACGTTATAATTATGTTTTTAACTTATGAACTGAAAATCTTACTGTGTTGTACCTTTCTAACATTAGATAGTCTAATCATACGACAGCCGGCATTCTAATTATATAACAATTTCAAGATTAACAAAAAGTTATGTATATACTTAGTCTCGTGAGAACTGTCACACAAAAAATTCCGTATTCGATGAATCTACAATAATATCAATTGTAGCTGAGAGTGGCATAATTGAAAAATGTCGTCATAAATTCAACGATCACATTCCAACTTACTGAAGCCATCTTAAAGATATGTAACAGTGCTTATAAAAGTGCCCCAAATCACATTTCATTTCAAAATATTAAAATTCTTGTGTCTAAATGAATGAAAAAATATTGAATGAAATATTTTCTTCTATAACATAAGTATTATTAATGTAAATTATTAATGTAAATAAATGTAACAAAATAAATAATATAGTCATTTTTTTTTATTTTTGACTTAAATAAAACACTATTATAATTATTAGAACATATAATACTGTTTTAATCCGTTAAGTCATTTCTCTCAAAAGCAATATTGTTCTCTCATAACCTTATTGTCAATTCACTACGTATTTACACAATCTCTTCAAGATATGAAGACCTAAATCCATAATTTCCTAATATAGCATTTCTACTACACTACCTCACATATTTAATTCATAATTTGTAGTTTCAAATGATTTGAAAGATTCATATTAATTCCAACCAATTCATGTATGAAAATTTATTTAAATTGTATTTTGAAGACATTATCACATTTGATTTAATTGGAATTCATTAGTATTAGTTTAGTAATTCATCAATATTTGTTAGTATTCTCAGTATGTGAACTGTGTGTTATTATTTACAATTAAAAAAGTCGAATACGGCATCGATTTAATTAATTTGATAGAATGAAATTTTATTTACGTTTAAAAATACCCCATTTTTTTATTTACTTTTTTAGTTAATAATAAATATCTAATTTTTCTTCAAAGCAAACTTTCAAATAATAAGAGGAATGAAATTACAACTATCAAACTCAATCATATACTTAGTGTATTATATTTGCAAATATACTATTTATAAGATATCGAAAATCGGAATATCGGAAAATTTCCTAACCATATAAGAAGCAGTTAAAATTATACTCTTATCTCTAAATTGAATGAAAATAGATTAAATTTAAAACAGTACAGATTCATAAATCTATTCATTATCAGGACATTTAATATAGTTTTCAAGAAATTTATTCTAACATTTCTATACGCAATTATATATACGCCATAAACAACGAGAATCTAAAATCTTCATTGAAACTCCTACCATCTAGTGTGACATTTAAACTGTCTTTGTCGTGATTTTTCCTTTCATAAAATAATTCTCTGATATTGTCATCGAGTCATTTAGCAGTAACAAACAAAATTAGATACGGCTATAATATAAGCATATATAAAAATTAAAATTGTTTCACAGTAACCAATTTTGCTCTGAACATTGTAATTTAAAGAATTATCCAAAGAGAAAATGATCAACTCTGTATTCACTATTGAATTTTTGTAGTAAACATTTTAGATGGATTCCAAAAGTTTACTCAAACTTGGATTCAATCCCAGTACGACCGTAAAGACAGTAGAATTTACTGTGGACTAATAAATCTGATCAATCCAGATGTTATTAGATATTTAAAAACTCCTTAATACGCTATTGTATAGATTTCTACTTAGAAGATTAAGAATTTTAAACACGTACAATGCCATATATCATACTATATAGAAACAATTGAATACTTCATAATTTTTTTTTTCTAGGTACAAAATATTTGTAAATACATTAGATATAACATATAATATATTATATATAAATAACATATATACACAAAATAATTTATAATTTGTAATAAGTGAAAAGACAGATAATCTATTGTATCTGTACAATATAATTTCTTCTGAAACAAACAAATCACTCATTTAAATAAGAACAAAAAATTGTTTATAACTTTGTAAATATTAGTTTATTGATCCATGTTTAAGACGATTTTTTGATGTATTATAAAATATCAATTTTAACTTTAGGAACAGATTCCAAATTTCCAAATATTCTTATTCAGCATTAATAAATCCACACAGTAACAAATGCAAATACTTTTTACTGCAATAAATAAAGTAAAACTTATACATACAAAACTTAATAAATATAACTTATACAAAATAAGAATTTTTTCAAAACTATAGTTTCTAATAATTACATGAATTTCTAACTTCAAAGTAAATGTACTTTAAGTTAAATCTTTCATATTTTTTGCTTTGAACAACATCAGATTAGGTTTCAAATGAGCAGCAAAAGAAAAGTAATCTAGCAGAGCAAATTGAAAATAAAAATGTAAAATATTTAAAAAGAATGTATATTTATTTAATATAATTATATATTTAAAATTAAATAACTAGGTGATGATTATAACCTACGCAAAAATTATTATATACTTGGACAATAAGATTATATTATTTATATAACACGTATTGTATTAATAAAAATGTATTAATAATAAATTATTGAAGTATAATATTTATTAATAGTTATAAAATACGCTATATTTAGTTATTATTGGCATCATCTTTGAAGATATTATCTAGAGATGAAAAATATTCTCTTTAGATGAAATGAATTTATCGATCGTTTCAGGCGCTAAAGACAAGAACAACGTATAGTATAATATAAATCTAATGTTTTTAAATATTAAATATTCAATGTATTAAAATTGTGTACGTAATAGTAAATTGATTTTCGAGGTTTATAAAGATGGGAGTAGGTAAAAGTCAGTTTTCTGAAGAAGAATTACAAGATTACCAGGTATTTGATACCAATTAATGATTACACATTTCATTTAATTATTTAATCTTATTTTATATTATAGGATTTAACATATTTTACGAAAAAAGAAGTTTTGCAGTAAGTATATTTATATAATTTACATAATATCTTTTTAATACTAATTTATGATATTTATAAAATATATTATACTTTTGTTGCCGCTTATTATAGCTCTTGTAGATTTCTATAATAAAAAAAAGGAAAAGATACGTTTCATTTGCTATGATAATAATATAAGTGTAACTTTAGGTTATTTCTTTATAATTTTGAAATATAATGTATTTAAATGATTGATGTTTTAGTATTTCAAACAATTTTTACTCATGAAAAATAAAAAACAAATTTATTTTCATATGACATTTTGTATAAGTTTGTAATATAAACATGTTATATTATTTTAATTACTTTATAAAAACAGAAATTAATAAGTACTATTTTTAGTACTTATTTCAAAATAAAAGAAAAGAGTTTAACTAAGTTTTATAATGTTACTGAATTGTTAATAATTTTTGTTGATATTTTCATGAAATTATACTCACAGAATTCAAAACAATTCCTATGTTTTTATGTATTAGTAGCAGTTTTTTATATTTTTATTTTTAAACAAGTAGTTCATAAAAAGTTATTAATTAATGTTTAAAATTTTGATTTTACATAACAGTGCACATCAAAAGTTTAAAGCACTTGCTCCAGAGAAGGTTGGTCATAATAGAAATGCAAAACTTCCAATGTCTAAAATCTTACAATATCCTGAATTAAGAGCAAATCCCTTTGGAGATAGGATTTGTAAAGTTTTTAGTTCTAGTCAAGATGGAGATTGTACCTTTGAAGACTTTTTAGATATGATGTCTGTTTTTAGTGACGCAGCTCCAAAAGCTGTAAAAGCAGAACATGCCTTCAGAATATTTGGTAATATTTACATTTCATGTGTCAGCCTCCCTAAAATTTTATTTATTAATCGATTTGTAATATATTGTATACAGATTTTGATGGAGATGATATGCTTGGCATCGGAGATCTAAGACAAGTAGTAGATAGACTTAATGCTCCACAAAGATTGAATGAAACAGATATGCAACAAGTACTCCAATATATACTTGATGAGGCAGATCTAGATGATGATGGTGCACTTAGTTTTGCAGAGTTTGAACATATTATAGAAAAAAGTAGTGATTTTTCAAAGTAAGAATTACATAAATTTAATTTTCGTTTGTTCCAATATTGAAATTGAATTTATTTTAACACATTTATATTTGTTTTCAGAAGTTTCTGCATACGTTTATGAGATGTGAAATTTTGATAAAAAATAGTAAAGCAGCAACATAAGACTGAATATCATATTACTGAATATTGCAACATGGTCTGTAGGCCTAATAATTTTTACTGTAAGAAGAAAGATAATTATAAGAATTTAGATGGTGTGCCAATGTTTCCTGAAGGCCTATTGTATTAAAAATAGTTCTTTTTTGTAAAGGAACACACTTTTAGAATTTTCTTAAAGTAAACTAAACTGCCACATTAACTGCCACATTAACTACCACAAATAGTCAGTACAAAGTTGTTTACTGACTTTAAATTTCATCATATTTCAAAATATTAATAATGATGTAATACATTTTAAATTAATGTCCTCTGGATCTCACATATACAATTTTCAACTTTTAATGCAAATTTTTACTACATAGATCAAATGTCTATAAATATAATTATTATATTAAATTATACAAATATAATTTATTAATATTATTACTACTAATATTTAGTACTTATTCGTTTTACTTGTTCTGCTAATTTGGATAAAAATATGTGATCAATATTACACTTCTTTTATATTATGTAAGACACAGTTTACAAATTTTACAAATATATGTGCTACTAAGGAGAAAAAAAAAATTGTATTTATTATAAGATACCCTTTTCAAACACAGTAAATAAACACAGTAAATAAAAAAAAGGTGATTCAAAAAAAAGTAGAATTGTAAAAACAGGGCAGAAGTTACAAAAATAAAGTTTAGATATATATGTATAGTAATTTTTATCATTTAGTATGTACAATTCAGTGTTGCAACAAAGTATGAATATAATAAAATTTTTTAAATTATTTTTTAACAGAATGCTGATCTATGTGTGGAGGCATATTTTCATAGGACATAGGTAAAGGAAGAAGCTCCGATAAAGAATTATTTTGTTATTATAGAATTTAAAAAAAATACTTTTTACTTCACATATTTTACATATTGCTTATGTTATATAACATATTTTTTATACATTATATATTTCATGTATATTTGAATAATCGATTACCATATTTAAAATCGATATTGGTATAAATAGTAGTATAATATTAGTATTAGTACAATTATAAAGTAATAATTAATACTTTATTAAATTATTGTTAAAAAAATCTTAATTACTTTGTTAACAAAATTTTACTGAAACTGCTATGAAATTTTTTTAATTAATACAAAATAGATTATATATATATGGAGCTAGATACTTGTTTTTGGGTTAGTGAGATCATTGATCTTGTATTGGCCTTTTTAGTAATAAGAAAAATAATGAATAATGTGCATTGAGTTATGAAAACCATAACCAAAGATATTAATAAATATTAAGTATATTAATAATAATAAAGATATATTAATGAAATGTCACTTCTGACATTTTCCTCGCCAAACGTAGTATATAATTATTAAAACTAACTTCTACAACTTACTCGTTATTTTGAGAAATAAAACAGATTAGTTAAACTATGAAAAAAAAAAAAAAATAAAGAAATTCACATAAGATTATATTATTATAATCCAATATATTTTTAATGAATTTTTGTAAATAATATCTGACAAGTGTAATTTGTTTGCTCTTAGTTACAGTTTACAGATAGCGAATCATAATTTTACGATTCTTGTATCCAAACTTTAACTTATTGTTAACTTATAAAAAATCAGAGAAGACTGTTTACCTCTAAATAATTATATGTACGTATTTATTTAACAAGTTTAGTTGCAAACATTATTCAATCAATAATGTTGTTTAAATAATTCAATATCATTACTTTTTAAATAAATGAAATATATGCAATTGTTACATTGGTAATTACTGTATTTAATAAAAACAAAACTTATACAAATAAAGTCATAGAACTAAGAATGAAACAGGAATAAATTGAAATTTAATTTAGTTTGATTCTTATTTGTAAATAAACATTTATTTATTATAGAAATCTTATTTTGTGAATAGTTCAATGTAATGTATACATTCAATAATTAAAGTTCAGATCTCTTATTTATTACTTTTATTTTACCATATAATTGTAATTTGACTGTTAGATTGCGAACTTTGTAAAATTAAAAAGTAAATTTTGATGATCTAAGTAACAATATGAGTTAAGTCATGCATATATTCTTAAGACATTTAACAATATTGGAACATGTCTAAATGAACTGATATAACTTTCCAAATTTATAATAGCATGTATAATACAATTTTATTTCCATTAAAAAGGAATATTAACTTTTGACCTATTTAAATACAACTCTAGTGATATGTTATCACCATCTTTTTTTATAAATATAATTATATAAAGCAGTTAGAGGTTTCTGAGATTAATAACATTGTTTATTTCAGTTGTGCAAATCTAAATCATTACCTTTTTTTGAATAAATTTAGTGAGTACCTTCTACTGCCTTAAGGGAAATGGGGTATTTAAATCTTCTTGAATAATTCATCCCTGACTTATTGACTTTTAAATCTTTATCATTCATAATTGTGAAATATAATTTATTAACATGTATTTATTTTAAATATGAATTTGTTTGAAGGATTAAATACTATCATTTTTTTATCCTCTTCAATGTCACTTAAGTAACAAAATTTGTAACATAATTCTTAGTAATACAGAAATTCCGTTTTTATAAATATTATAGCGATGATATTTGGAACAAAATGCGTGTGTTTTTGTTTTTTGGTTGTCATATCATAGTATTTACAAAGCAGAACAACTTTTGAGATTAGTAAGATTAATCCTTTGTACAATTATCGTTTTATCATTATTATTACATTAGTCTTTTATTAGCAATACAATTAATATAATGTAACAATTTAAAAATTTAGTACATTATACGAACGGAAGAAATATTCAATATTTGCATAAAGTAATTTATATAACACTACCTTACAACGTAATTATTTTATTTTTAGAATTTAGAAAAAGTGCTTCCTGTATATGTTGTACGATTTTAGAGCGTATTTATTATACGATTTAGAACGTATTATGATCATTTACATCCTTACCAGTAAAACATAAATAAATTTGGAATTTATTTTAGCAAGTTTTATTAATAACAAAATAAAATTATGACTAGATGGTAACAATTAAAACGTAAAACCGATATTAATATTTCTCGAATGTTTGCTATTGAAAAAATTCTTTTGATTATTTCATGTTTTCAAAATCACATAGCTTTTATAAAAACTACGTAACTTTTACTTTTCGTATTTTTTGAAGAGAAAGGAACGTTTTAACTACTAAAATGAATAGTGTACATTCTGTATAATAAATTGTCATCATACTAATACATTTGTATGAATAAATATAATTTAGTAAAAACAATGTAGAAAACATACATATGTATATACATTTCTAATTACATGGAAAGGAAAATAAACTATATTTATTTATCTCACTAATATATTAGGTAATAAAAATTGCATACCATACGATAAATAATAAGTAATATACAGTAGAACCTTCGTTATCCAAAAATTTACTATCTTAACATTTTGTTAGTTGGATATTCCACTATTCAAACACTGTATTCTTTCATTATATATATGTATATTTAATTAGTATATTTTCTCCATAACTTTAACCCTTTCACGAGTAAGCTTCAGTACCTAATTAAAGTAAAATAATTACTTTAACCTTTTCAGCAGTCTTAAGACAATTTTCCATTTAACTCACTAGCGCCACTGTGGCTCATATCTGCAACAAACGTTTATCGTAAATATCATATATATCGTTGGATTACTTTTTAATTTTATTGATATGATCTTGAGATTTTCTTCTTACTACATGTGTCATATTGTTTGCACAATATTGTTCTCACATATTTTTCGACTGCAGTTCGTGCTCGTGAGAGGGTTAATATGAAATAGACATCTTATCCTTTGCTATTATTAATATTATTCTTCGCAAAATATAAAATAATCACTAAAAAGGATGTGTTTCACTATTTGAAAATTCTTTTGTCTGAATAGTCATGTTTCTTTACCAGCTTAGGAACAGCAGGTTCTACTGTATTTCGTTATTTTGTAAAATATTGAGCAAAAAGAGAAAAGAAATGCACGTATAAAAACAACAAAAATAATACGAGTCTAGGGGGTTTCGATAAGATTGAAGTGGTGTCCATGTAACCTAGTATGTATAATATTATCGAGTATCGAAGGTGTATGTTTGTCAAACAATATTATAAATACAAAGTTATCGTTAGAGAAACATCGAATTTCAAACTAACTACCTGTGTATTTCAATGGAATTAGAAATATCATTTTTATTTGAGATCTCAACAACGTACCTTTGGATTAAAATTTTTTCTTAAAACCTCGTTTCTCCATTGCACTTAATCTTTTCACGTGAAAAACCGAAGACAGAGTAAAGAAATTAATTGTTACGACAAAGAAACTTAATCGTGTAAATTAATTATTTTTGTTAGCATTAAGTGTAACGTCCAAAGGTTCGTCGACATTTTGCGAAGGACTGAGTTCTTGTTGGGGTAGTTGATGGAATAAAGTAGCGATCGGCGTGTGTCGGGGTGGACCCTTCACGGTGAGATCCATTTCAGCCTCTTGGGGCCTATCTCTGACGGTTAAATTGATATCTCTTTCTACTGGACTACCGCATATCCTCGGCGGAGAACCACAGCCACATTTCATTCTCTCTGGAGATTTGTCACAGGTCAAAGAATATCTGAAACATGATAGTTATTTTTCACATAAGAACACAAAATTAAGTAAAACCATAAGACATAATAGCGATATTATCAAATATTATTAATACAAAATATAAGAATATATTAGTAACAAATGTTACCAAATATTAATACAAAAAGTATGAGAATATTAACTTTTTGCACTCGAGAGGCAACTTTCAGTCACCATTTAATCAAATTCTAAAGATCGATGTTAATTAATATATCAAATTTAAAATTATCCAACGATGCGTGAAATGTCGAAGTAAAATAATTCTACGTCTTAATTTGCATACGATTTCTTATTTACCGTTTTAAAAATATCTAATTAATTATTATTTTTCTGTAACAAAAAGATCGCCGAGTGCAAAGAGTTAATATTTTCAAATAATTTTGGAATCAAGGAATAATAATTATAAAACCAACATGGAGCCGATATACTTCTCCTATATCACTTCTCCTATAATTTTTATTTTATTTTATTTTCATAACAGGAAATATAAATGACTTTCAAAATTGAAAGGTACGAAATAAATAGATAATAATAATATCATTTTTCAAGAACCGAAATCTAAACCAATATATTACCAGAACTATAACAGTTGTGGCATTATTCCTATTCTTATAATTGTTCTTATTCCTTAACTATTTTGAAAATTTTTAACTTATTTATTGAAAATTTATAACTTATTTTGAAAATTAAATACTTCATTTTATTAAGGAACAAAATATACATATGTGTACATGATATGCCCCATATCGATCATTTCAAGTATTTATCATTTTTCAATCATTTCAAATCTCTATTAGTATTTTGAAGTTAATAGAGGTTCTTTTCTAATATCTTATGTTTCATAGAAACGGTAAATAAGTATGCTATTAATTAGTTTGTTACGATTGTTTTTCGTTTATTATACTACAACCTTTTAGCTTTCTCACGTCGGTGGATTTCTGGGCGTTCAAAATGAAAGTTGGAAAAAGTCGGGGAAAACCACTAACAAGTAAGTCGATATACCACTAGCACTTCTCGTTCGATATCTACGCCCTAGTTGAAATGAATACTTCGTGTTTGTATTCCAAGGATTAATTTGAGATGATACGATTTTTTTTTTTTTTCGTTTTTAAGTTATACGAAGATTGAGACAATATAAAATTTAAAAAATTAAAAAGTTTTTCTCTTTTGTTAACTTTGAATATCGCTGCTTTTTATTTTGCTTTTGGTCACTCTTAATTGCAATATCGCGTAATGGTACATCCAATGGCGCAAGTAATTTCGCAACAAATGAATGTTCTCATTTTAATTAAAATATAAATATTAAAAAATATGGAAAAGATTTAACATTTTGATGTAACTTTTTAAACCGTTATATCTTTAAATTTCTTGAAATATATTGCAGCCACGTATAATAGATACAAATTGTGTGTGCTATAGCTTGCTTAAATATTATTTAGTTCAATCGAAATAAATTATCATTTGTAAAACAAGATTTGAAAATTGGAAAAAATTTCTGTATAATATAAAATCATTATAATGTGGTTTTACTAATTGAAAAATCTTCGTGAAAACGGTACATAAAAAAAGAATTTTAAAATACCAGCACTCTTGTTGGATATTTTTCATTCTAGCAACATATTTATTGGCACAGATTGGCAATTGAATTTTAAAACATTGAAACTATAAATTCATTTTCAGTATACTATTATATTAATTTTATAAAGTCAAAAGCTGTTTTCGTTATTTGAAATGTAATAGCAATTTGAAATTTATTCGATAAAAATTCAATAACACTAATGTGAATAGAAATAATACATAAATTAACGAATGATAGTTTTATTTTGATGTTTCATGTGTTATGATGTTATAAAAGACTTAAGACTGAATATCAAATTTTATAATTTTGCTGCATATATATTGATATTTTTCAAAATACTACACGAGGAAAATTATAAGTAATATTAATGTGTAATAATTTTGATAAATTTTTTTCGTTTTGATAAACATCTTCCTGTTAATTATGAACAGAACGAAAATTGGGAATCGTTGTAGAAATTGTAAATAAATCGACTTTCCACGAGATAGAATTTTCACGCCAAAAATTTGACAGATTCACGATTACGATTACGAGAAATATTTTCATGGAGATATAAATAATAAATATTGTCGATAGAAATATTTTCAGAATGTAAAATATAGGAGAATTTTAAAAATGTGACGAAAGATATTCTTATATGTACATTGTGACAGTACTATTAAATTTGATGAAATCAGCGATATCTGCTTGTCATACATCGATCTAGGTAGCGATCGATTTAAGGATAGGGCGACATCTGTCATCAGAAAAGAGAATTCCGTTCGTCGTTGTCATCGTTGTTTCAAGCGAAACAAAGCTTTCAAGAATGTCCAATTAAAAGTATCCATTCTGTACATTAATTCCTTCTGTTTCTAAATTATAAATTGCAATCTCATTTTTCTATCCTTAATTAACTGCACTTTTCAATTCGACTAAAATTGTATTCAGATATTATCAACATTATTAACCTTTTGAACTCGAGAGGTGACCTTCAGTCACAATTTAATAAAATTTCGAAGATGGATATTAATTAACATATTAAATTAAAAATAACGTAATAGAGTGCGAGATATTGAAATTAAATAATTCTACGTGTTAACTATTATACGTTATTTTATTTACTGTTATAAAGATATCGTAGGCTTTATGGCAGAAAATCTTTGAATTTCTACTCTTTTGAAGCGAAAAAATGGTTGAGTGCAAAGGGTTAAATTTTCAGTTTATATAACATAACTCTAATAACTATTAAGTAATGAAAATAAATAGAAATAAAAAAATAAAGTTGTCTTTTATCAAGAAATGTATATGTTTTATGTTTATGAGTGTGAGTGAGGTTAAATGAGTGAAACTCATTTATTATAATATACCATTCTGTTCGCAGTATAGTCACTAGTAAAAACATAGTAAAGTCATAAAATCAGTCGATAAGAAATTTACTGATGTTCCATATGTCAAAACGGTATTTTTAAATATTTATCTAAAATAAAGATAAATGTATATAATAATGTAACGAAAAATGAAAAATTTTTCAAATATTCGAAATAACCTTTAGAATAAATTAGAAAAATATAAAAACATAGAAACATTGTAATTGCTGAAATCACAAAACGGGAAAGGATTAAGGAAAATATGACCAACAGACCTAATAAATGGTTGAAAGAAGTTTCGACGCTGAAAGGGATCTCATCACGTCAAAATGAGTGCTGCCTGCATAAGTGAACAAGTTACCTCGTAGAATAATTACCCTAACTCTTAACATACGTGTAACAAAAAATAATCGAAATATTACACAAACTTTAGTAATAATAAATTTTTAGTAATAATAAATTTATAATAAATACATTAAAATAAAAAATTAAATTTATTTTTTGTCAATTAATTTTTTGATTTTAGAATTTTACTGTCTATCCCCTTTGTACCTCAGTAAATTATTTTTATTCTTTGATTAGTTTATTAAGATTTCATTCTCGTGGAAAGTAGCGCAACTGTCAAAATTGAAAAAAAATCTTTTTTTATAAAAGAACGTTATATGTGCTAGAGAGAATAAAGCTGCATGCAATTTCAGTGTAATTTCATTTGTTTGATAATAAATAATTGGATATAATGATGAAATTGATTTGTATGTCGCAATTTTCCTTCATATGTACCAGCCCAAACGTTAATCAATTGATTATTTCTATTTCTTTGTAACGATAACAGAATACATTTTTGTGATACATATATGATGCCTTTTTAAATTAAGAAGGACTTTACAAACTAAAAAATGGTACATACAAAATTTTCCTGCAAATCGAATAATTTTTGCAGAATTTTCACCGGAAAATATATGCAAAAATTTTTTCACCAGAATTCATTTCGAATGAATTCGAAAAATAAAAAATTCCGTTATGCATTTCAGTTACTCTAACCTGAGTGACAGTTAAGTAGGAATAAATACAGATTTAGCAGTAATTGAAATAAAATATAATAGCAAAAAAATGAAATGAAAAATGAAAAAAAAAAATGAAACATAATAACAGAAAATAAAATAGTAATATTTTGATTTTTCTTCATTCATCAAATTTATTTTCCGGTACCTACGCCATTTTCCATAAGAATTCTTCAGCTATATAAAAATAGTTCTATAAACACTATTCACCGAACAAGAAAACAATGATAAAAATAACAAAGGGAATGAATTTTGTTACCCATGTGGAGGTGGAAGGATCCTGTAATCTCTGCAAACGGATAAAGTTGGAGTGTCTGGTATTTTGTCAGCGTTGGTCGCCGTTAGGGGTGGTCCGTTGGTAGCGGCGGAAGCGGAAGGTGGTGGGGGTGGCGGAGGTGGCGGTGGTGGGGGCGGTGGTGTCGCAGCATCAGGTCGTTCCAAAGACGTGGGTGGCGGCCTCAAAAGGAGAGGTGCTGCGCTCCCTAATCCCAAACATCGCATTCTCCATGCATCTTGTAACAATTGCAATCGGGCTTGTTTCCGCCACTTCGCTCGTCGATTCTGGAACCAAACCTAAAACAACGAACATTTCTCGTATTTACATCATTAATCGTATATCTTTCATAAGCAAAATACGTATGTAAGTATATTTTTCCTTATACATTCTTTATCTCAAACGCACTTAGAAATATGCAACGTTTTTGGAACGTAGATATTCTGTTAATAAAATTGGTTAAACGAAACGCTAAATTTTTCTATTAATTAATACTTAATTAAATTTAATTATTTGTCGTGGATTACGTTTTTTTGAATGAACTCCGAAGAAAATTTAGAAAATTTTTGTAAAACTCTTATATTTTATGCAAATTGAAATTTACTATTTTTATTTATTTTGTTGATGTAATTATAAGTAAGAAAATATAAATATTCTCAACTTCTTTTTACGAAAAAGTCGGAAGTCCGTTGTACTTCAAATTGTGTGAGAATATTGATGACAATAAAAGATACTAGTCATAAATGAAGAACAGTGTTAATATTTATGAAAATTGTGAAAATATATAAATATTAATTTTCCAATTTTATTAAAATTGATAATGAAAATCTTAAATATCGTACTTATCGAATATTTTGGAATAAAAATAATAAATTTTACAATCTGTTACAATTTATTATATTATTTTTTTGATATTTGCAATGTGACTTACATTTGTAAATAAGATCAATCTGACCATGAAAAATAAAATAAGATAAAATTGCTGTGCAAATTGTATCAGTCGAAATTAATTTTTGTCGACAAAGTTTTTGAAAGGTTTTCTACTCACTAAATAAATTCGAAAAGACCATCATTAAGTAAATAAGAAATTTATATATTCAATTTAGATTAATAATAAAATTATGTTATCAAATATCATAATATCTGAATAAAATATTTCAATCTTATGCTTCATATTTTTTAAATTAATTCTAAATTTTGATTTTTTGTTTTTTCAAATTCCGAGCAATGAAAATTTTTATTTATTACATATTTTTATATACTTAAAATTGTTCACATCGAAGAGTATAAAATTATCTCGCTTAAAACATACCTACTATAATTCTTCACATGTTCAGTGCCAACTGATACCCTTTTTTTTTTCAAATGATTATAAATACTTCTTAAATTCTATATTTCTAATTAATTAATACTAAATTTGAACAAATTTTGTTGTTCTCTTTAAACACAGGAATAATTTATTTGATTTCATTGGCACTGAACACGTGAATATTAAATATAAAATAAAAGTCTAAGTAAGAGTTACAACAATTTTTGTTCAACAAAAGAATTTTATAAATAATATAAAATTTCTTAAAAAAATAGAAAAATTAGCAATTTACTAAATGGTACATCAACTTCATATAAACGTCATGTATTTATTAAGAGAATATTTAAATAATTATTAATTGAAATCAAATACTCGTTGGTTAATTTGATAACGAGAAGAAATGAAAAAGAATATGAATTAACAAAGACAAGATATTTGTCTATTAACCTGCACACGAGCCTCTGAGAGTGAAATTCTAAGCGCGACTTCTTCTCTTAGGAAAACGTCCGGATAGTGCGTCTTCTGGAAGAGCGACTCCAATTCTTGAAGCTGTTGAGGAGTGAAAGTCGTCCGATTGCGTCTCTACTCAGACATGATTAACAACAATTAATGATCATACATATTCACTACTGCATTTCATGCACTTTAATTTATGACAAATTAATTGAATATAGGCTTATTATATATATATGAAATTGAAAAATTAAAATTGAAGAAATTATTTATTTCTTCTGATACTGATTTTAAATAAACAATAACGCGACTACAGGTGTCTGTACGTGTGCGATATAGTTATACAAATAATATAAATATATAGAAATTTTACTTATCAAGGTAAAATTTTGAGAATGGTGTAATTGATAAATCGTGTTAAATTAATAATAAATTACTGAAATTCTTAAAGCTTTGGATAGCCTTGTGTAACTATTAATAGCTATATGATTACATAGTATAATTTTGTACACTTCTATTTACTTCTTTGATTCTTTGTATGTTTTTGTTTAATCTCGTATTTCACTATTTTATTTTACTTTGTTTCATTTCGCTATTCAAAAAATAGTATGCTTGGTCAATTATTGGAATTTACATTTCTAATGAATATCATGAATTATTATTATTAATTTGTAATAATTCATATTTGACAATTACATCATTATTATTACAATCAGATTATTTTACATTCTCATTAGTTTCGTTGTTTCAGTGATTGATATTATGAAAAAAAGCGGTGATAAAGAATCTTAGAAGTAACATTAGTATGAAAATATCATTTTAAGTACCATATGTTACAATACAAACAATACAGTCGAGAATATTAAGTATGCAATAATAAAAAAGTTGAAGCAAGACCGAATTTTAAACATACTGTAATCATACTGTATCAGTTTACAATTTTTCGATTCAATAACTCATAATTTTTCATCAATTATTTTCAATTCATAAGCATTCCTGTCATATCCAAAAATTTGTATGGCTCCTTTGGATATCCATTTTTTATCCTTCGATTGTAGACATTTTTTCGGTGTACTTATAATAGTTAGAAAATATATTTAAAATCATAAGAACGTTAGAAATTTCGTAGAGATGTTGGGACTATTATAATAATAAATTAAATTTATTTATTAATTATCTGAAATTTTTTATTCCTTAATTGTAGATATTTTTGCGGTGTACTCGCGATAGTTAGAAAACATATTTATAATCATAAAAACATTGGGAATTTCGTAGAGATGTTGAGACTATTTTAATATTAAATGAAATTTAATTATTAATTATTTAAAATTTTTTATTCCTTAATTGTAAATATTTTTGCAGTGTATTCACGATAGTTAGGAAACATATTTATAATTATAAAAACATTAGTAATTTCGTAGAGATGTTGAGACCATTTTAATAAGAAATTAAATTTATTTATTAATTATCTGAAATTTTTTATTCTTTAATTGTAGACATTTTTGCGGTGTGCTCACGATAATTAAATAATTTATAATCAAAAGAACGTTAGAATTTTCGTAGAGATGTTTAGACAATTATAATAATAAATTTAATTAATTTATTAATTATGTGAAATTATTTAATTATGAATACGAAGAAGAATCTATACCCTGGTTTGGATGGTAATATGGAACCTTACACACTATACCTATATATGAGAGTAATATGGAACTGAGAGATTGCGAGTGGAAGATGTACTATAAAAGAAAGCATCGTGATTATCAAGAGGAATTATCCTCATCTCATTCAGGCACATTAAGACTCTTTGGATAATTGTTTGCACATATTGTTTTCGTAAGTATTCAGATAATCATCGTGGTAAGATATGAGAATGTCAGTCACGAGAATTTTACGTCCATAATGAGAATACTGTGGCAATGCATATTACATATGTAACTCATTTCCAATTACATAAAAAGTAATAGAAACAGAAAAATAATGACCAAATTCAGTAAATATTCTACCTAATGTCCATGCTAATTTTCTCAATTGATCTTTCTTTATTTTTTAATTCTTTTTATTTAGATACTTCAATGATAGCATCTAACTTCAATGGTGGAACCTAATTCCATATTATGAACAACGCTAAATGTACCTAGATAGTAACAAAAAGTACAAAGAATAGTAATTGCAGTAGAATAAAAAAAGTACAGTATTTAATCCAAAGTACTGTATTTAATCGGTTCACAATACCAGCATAGAAATGTATAATAAAAGAAAATTAATTTTTTATGATAAAAATACGATAAAAATTTAATCAAATATATACGATAAATAATTCAATCAAATGTTCGTTCATTTTATTTGATGCATTTGTAAAGAAAAGAAGAATTAATAAAGAAATTAAGATAGTAATTAGGTTAATTAGTTCATTGGCTTTGAAAGAATTACCTACGAACAGGTAGAGATTACATATTACCATTTCCCCTTCTATTTTTCCTACATTTCTGTAACTATTTCTTCAGTTATATTAATTTCACTAGGATCTTAAGTCACCAAAAGGAATATTTGAATCTTTAAAAGTTTTGTAACCACTATGTATTACATAGAAGTTAAAAATTGAAGATAGAGTCGGCTAAGAAAACACTATGAAATTGAAGAAAATTGTTATTGATATCTATAACAGCAATTTTAAATTAATGTCAGAATTTGTAGAAAATTCGACATAGGTAGAAGTAAAAAACTTATTTCAAATTCTGCACTGTATATGTCAGTATATTCCCTATCTTTATGTTTCTAATTTACTACTAAAAAATAATTATAACCTTCAATTACTCGGATATTAATATTCAACCAAGAATTTGTAAAAATGTTTCGAATTTAGTGAAAACAGTGTGCATATTAAGAAACCCAGAGTGTTTTCAAAGATAGATCTTCTAGTTACTAAACCTTTTACCATTTATTTTGCTCTAATTTGTTCAGTGATTAGAAAAAAGTAAATAAATTAAATATATGTTCTTGTACATATGAATATAATGATAAATATTTGTCACAGATTATGTATCTGTTAAAATTTTGTTGTTTAAACATAACTGAGGGAAACGGACATAGAAAATATAGTTGAAAAAATATTACTAATTCAGAGTTTACTATCTAAGAAATTTTATTCTAAATTAGAATTTATAAATTAATTTAACTTAAAGAATTATGAATAAATATTAATAAAAGGATATGAAAATTCTGAAGTTGATGAATATAAATGAAACATATTTTTGAGAGTATAGGTGTGTTTAAATTTTACTCAAAGAAGTTATTATTTAGATAGTATATGATAGATATAAATTCATAAAATTCTAGCAAATCTTTGTAGTATATAAAATAAAAAAAAATGAAATATACATTGCAAATTGAATTGAACAAAAATTGAGATTTTTTAATTTGTATAGTAGTGCATTTACACACTCCTTTATACACTTTGCTTGTTACGTTATTTAAGTATACTATATACATGAAGTATTTTACCTGTATATGTATTATTTAGCTACATATTAAGCAGATATCAATAAAGAAACAAGAAATTTTTTCGAAAATTTGAAAGTGGGTGAGAGAGTGGATGAAAATACATAAAAGCTATAATCGATAAAAATGTATTCAAAACATTAGTGCAAAATTTACTTCGACTAATATAACAGATAAGAATAATAAAATAATAGGAAATAACCGATAATAAATTTGAGAATTCTGTTTATTTTAGGGACACGTCATTTTCTATTTTAAGAAATAAATTAATATAAATAATTATTAATGTCCAAAGTTAATATTTTTAGCTTTTCAGTCTCTTTTATTTATTTTTCACCCTGATTTGTAATTTCACGATAGTTGCACCTTTTGTTACCCATGAAAAGTATTATTTAATTGTAAGTATAATTAGAATAATTTTATATTCACTAATATTAAATGTATAAATTAATTTCATTACTTATAAATTAGTTTCATTACTAATACTTCATTACAGATTTATTTGTTTAATTGATAAACGCATTTTAAATTTTAAATTTAATCAATATCTTTACAGGAATGTGTTTATATAAATTTATATTTACAACATCTCACGAAACTCAGGTAATTTATCAGAAAAATTTTACTCAAATTTTTTGACTGAGAAAAACATCAAATTAATTCACATTTTTAATGCTGTATATCTAAGTCACACCGAAGTTAAATGTTTCCTCTATCAACTTCATATAAACATCGAATTAAATGATTTAATTTTTGAATAATTAGACACTAATCACAATTTTTAATTCAAAAAAGACGAAAAAATGAATTTGATTATTTTGGTTTTTAAATGGCCCGTGTCCCAAGGAGAATAATGTACAAAAACAATTACACTACTGCAAAATGTAACATGTATAAATAATTTTTATAAACTTTATAAATAGCCTATTCTCATTCAGAAATATTTCTCAAAATTCTTGCTTCAATCTTTATATCATTTTTACTATGTTCAATTGTACGTCACACACAGGGTACCTTTCAGCTTTTTCCTAAAAGAATAGTAAAAACATTTTTCAAGCTACCTTATCTAAATTATACATAAGCTAGAATATTACATCTAAATTTTACTAATTTTTAAATTTTACACTTGTAAGTGAAATTTTGGTCATATTACTCTATAGCAAAGGGCCTTTTTTTCAAAAACATCTTTATCATCACTTTCTTTGGATTATGCTAATGCTACTGGATAATCATCGTGTTGTAATATTCCTTATGTCATAGGAATTTTTAAATCATGCAATAAGTAACTATTCAGTGGTGGTTCTGATTTCTTTTTCTTCAAATTATCAAATAAAAAATAGTGACAACCCACGCAATAATAAATGTTTGATACCAGTGAAAGCTATACCTAATCAGAAAAATTATGGTATACTTTTTAGAGCATAACAGCATTTCGTTACGTATAATTGATTTATGTGAAATGGAGATCAGTGGACTATACGACAATAAATAATTAATAATGATATATATATATATATATTCAATAAAGAGATGGAAATTTATTGCATTACTTTCTACACTATTAAATAATAATTTTTGCATTTGTAATATGTGGAAAAACAATTTATAGTTAATTTTTCGAAGTACGATGAAATAGTGATCAGATATAATATGTATGAACGTAAAACACAGATTGCCGCCAAAACGGGAGACCCGAACACAGCTTTAAAAGAAAATGAATCAGCGATTAATTTAAACCACAAAACAAGCATAAAACGAATTTATACAATGTTAACAAACTGGTAGTTAAAAGTTAATATTTTGTTTATTCAGAAGATACCCATAAAGGCTGAATCCCTTTCACATTAATGGAACCTCTTCCCGTACGAGTTATATTTTTCCAACGAATTTCTCCCCAAAATTCCAATTGCAGTTCTCCTTATGATACTCATCAATTACTATTTTGGAACGAAATAAAAATCCCACGTCAATTACGGAAACAACAAATCAAAGCAGAACCCCGTCACTGAACATCATCCCCACCACCACAGAACATAAATCCATCGATTTATAAATCGCTGCATCGTGAATGATGAAGAAAAATTCACGAATCACAAGCAGAAGGTGTGTAGGAAAGGAAGGGAAGCAAATTGCGAGAAGAAAGAGCAAGGACACTTGACTAACGTCTACTCTGCGGCAAAAATGGGTCGTTTGAGCGAAACCAGCATGGATACGTGAAAACATAAGAAAGAAAGTAAAAAGAAGCAAAAAAGAAACGTACACTGACCTGACGACGTCTTCCAAACATGTATTCTGTGAGCAAATCAGCCTGGGGCCCCAGCGGTGATAAATACGGGCCTGCCATCCTGTCGCAATAGATCGTTCGGCAAAACTGACAAGGATTAGTTAGCTTTGCGTTTTCTTCTGATTCTTCTTTACTTTTTTTTTTTTTTATTTTTTTTTACCCCTGAAATCTCACTGCGAGAGAGTCGCTTTATCGTTCTCGATAGACGACACCGAGGAAACTGAAGTCTCCTTTCGAGAGTTCACCCTCGATCAAGCTCCGAGTTACGTGCAGAACGAGGGTTGGTTTCGCGGCGCGCGATTGGTCTAGCCCTTTCGGGGGCGGTGCCAGTTCCATGGAGATAAGTACACACCCCTCTTGTGGAAAATTCACTAAATCGTACCGCGCAGAATTTTTCCTCCAAAGAAGGGCGATACCTGATTTTCGGGTTTTCCCCAAGATTTTCCTCTCTCTCGCTTTTTCGAATTTGCCTACGCAAAGCTTTTTCCTCGTTTATTCGGTTTGCCATTCTGCTTATTGGTCCTATGAGCCATGGATACTTTAATATTTTATTTCAACCTTCCTGTTTCGATCACTTTAAATTTTCCCAACTTTCATAGTTCCAGTCGAGGCTGTAGCTGTGGATTACGTTGTTACGTGGGAATAAGGGATGAAGATGGAAGAAAATAGATGGGGTGAAATGGTGTTTGGACGATGTTCAGTGTAGAATTTGTTTGGAAGATGGATTTTGGATATCTGTTTAAGAAATTTAGGCAATTTTGATGATGTTGGGTGTTTGTTGATATTTTTTGTGGTAATAAGCAAGAAAGTTTGGCAAATGACATAAGTGATAAAGCATAATTAAGATAATAGGTTGTATTCAAGAGTTACAATTCTTAAGATTAATAGGGTTTAAGTGGCAATTTGTTTAGTGTAAAGAAAGAAACAGGAATGGAAATTTTGAAAGTAGTAAATATTATTCGTCAACTAAATATAGTTGATATAGTACTATAATAATCATTTTGAAAATACTAAAATAGTAAATGATTTGTCATTAATAAGTTTTATAATTAAAGAACAATATTTGATACGTAATGACTTTCGGTATGAAAATATTAATTAATATTAATGTATCAAATATTATAATTAATTGTGTGAAAACTTAGTAAAATTATTAAAGTTTCGGATTTAGTTAGAAATTGTACGAAATTAATAGATAAATTGTTTTATACGATGAATGGCTTATTTAGCAAATTAGTAAATTATTTTAGTTAGTAAATTAATTTACTAATCTTTAATATTGTAGATTTGTATATTATCTTTTGTATTTCTAATTGACAGCAAGCAAAATAAAAATCTGATTAATTTAACTTATCACGATTAATATAAAACTATAATCAAATTTCTACTGAATAATTACACATTAAATTTCGTATTTTCATACTTATAACTTAACACGTAGAAATACCTAAGTGCATACACTATAGGGAATAAAAAATAATAAAATAAAATCATCTAAAACTAACAGTCATTTTTCCAAAAATTAATAACCTCTACTTCAATCAAAAAATTGCATGTCAAAACTACAGATCCAACAACAATCATATACATTCTATTTTAACTAAATATCTATTATTAACCCCTTCAACCCCTATTACCTTAACCTACCAAATTAACCACATACATGAAATAAGATAACCTCAAAACACCAATCTAACCTAAACCAGCAAAATGCAAAAAACACAAACAGAAAACCCCTTTAAAATTCAAAAGACAGGGAAAAGAAAAACGGAAATAAATAATAACAAAAAACTTGGACGCGAATTCTTTCAAACTGACCACGTATGTACGACAGGATAACTTCATAATCCCAATCTAATCTAAAGCATCAAGACGCAAATAATCAAAAACAAGAAACCCCTACGAAAAAGAAAAGGAAAAAGAAAAACGGAAATAAATAATAATAGAGAACTCGGCCGTCAATTCTTTCCAAACCAAACTGACCACATATATACAACAGCATAACCTCAAAATCCCAATCTAATCTAAAGCAGCAAGACGCAAAGAATCGAAAACAGGAGACCCAAGCAAAAAAGAAAAGGAAATAAAAATATAGAATTGAGTAGTGACCAGCGGAAAGTGGGAAAAATTTTGGAAGACGAAGAAGAAGAAGAAGAAGAAGAAGAAGAAGAAGAAGAAGAAGAAGAAGAAGAGATGGAAGAAGGTGGTACGCGAGTTTAGTGATAGGAGCCGTAGCGAAAGCCAGAAAGTGATGCTCGGTATTCGTGTAGCGCATCAGACAGGCACATACCCCGAAGCCATGTAATTCATTACTAAAGCAATCTCACCCTGCCCTATCTCTGCCCCTCTCCTGAACCCTATCCAGCCCTGCACACCCTCTCCTGACTTCGGCGGTGCGCGCGCGTTATAATATAAAAAAAAAGGAAGAACCAGCCGGATGAGGAAGGAGAAGGGCCCGAATAGAATAGCGCCCCTGACGACAAAACAAAATGAAACACAAAGCCGTGTTTTCATAATTAAAAAGATTGCATGCACTGAGTACAGTTCTCTCTTGCTCTCGCTTTTTCTCTCGTTGGCGTTCTATGCTCGCCTCCTGTACGGAGCCTTTCTGTTCGCTACGCTGTATTTCTCTTTTTCCCTTTCCATCTGATTTTCTCTGTGATTGTCCGCCGAGTCTTTCTTTCTGGACGACGCTC